TTCCAGAAGATAGTAGAGACTTGTGGCTGGGGACCACTGGGCAGTCTGAGAAGATTCTGTAAACAAGCGCTAGCTAATAAACCTTGCTGATTGAACCTGCATGGTCTCCAGGGGTTCCTTGGGCTAGGCCTGACACAACCACCATGACCAATAATAAATAACTGTGGGAGCTGTAGACCAAAATACGTGCAGCATAAGATTGTTAATCCACACTATAGATAGTAGATAGACCAATAGCCTAGTCTAGTATAAGTCTTACTATTTACTGTATGAAGCCTCAGTAGGCACAATTCAACAAAACGTACTCCTTAATGATCATTATCCAGATCCTCAAACTGCCACAGAAGTCTTATAGTTCCCCATAGCACAGATACATCTTTTAAAACCAAGTACTGCTGCACACATTTTTCAAGGAAATTCACTGATGAAGATCTAAAGGAAGTCTATGACATACATTTTACCGCAAACAGTTCTGTGGCCAATATGGTTTTATATCTCTAATCATGGGCAATGAAGAGTATGATATTGCATGTGGCAGTATGACTCAGATAACAGGAAGCCCTGTAGAAACAGCTATGCTTGAGGCTGGAATCTTGCCAGCCAGCGTGTGACTGGTTCTGTGCTCTTTATAAGAGTCAATGAAGAGGTAATATTTTAAAGAATTCAGTAGTCACTGTGGGAAGGTCTCTCAGCATTTGGATAAGTTTGGAGCATGATTAAATATAAGAACATTTCCAATACAGAATTTTTTTTCACAGTATAGTGTACAATATTGAGTCAAAGAAAGCATCAAAGCCAGAAAAAATATGAAATGGAGGTGCTGATAATCTTTCTCTGAACTGATTGGAGTGTGTATTGATTTAATGCTGGCTATGGGAGAAGACAAGTACAGGGATCAGCTTAAGACTTCCTTAGCCTGGATCTTACTGTCGTGTTGGATTACAACTCTTAAAAAATTTCTAGCTAGCATGACTGTTGATTGAGAAAAGTTGCTGAGCTTCCTGTAATTGTTTCTGAATTGTGAATTAATTAGTGGCATCTAGAAGACATGATACAAAACACTAGATAAAGGCTTTTTTTTTTTGGTCAGTCTTCAGTTTTCCTGGCAAGATTTTGGAAGTGGTTTGCCATTGCTTTCTTCCTAGGGCTGAGAGAGAGTGACTGGCCCAAGGTCACCCATCTGGCTTTGTGCCTAAGGCGGGACTAGAATTCATGGTCTCCCAATTTCTAGCCTGATGCTTTAACCATTATACCAACCTGGTTCTCATAGAAAGGAATTACCACAGATATATAAGCATCACTATAGAAAATTCATTTTCCTCAAAACTTCTTCCACTAAGGATATAAGTTGAAGAATAGAAGGGGAATTGTACAACTTTGTCAAAAATTCACAAGAAGGGTTTTCCCCTTTCCAGACAGCCTTCTGGATTTATACTCCTGAGAAGCGGTGTTGAAGAACAGCCCTGGAATGCTAGGGAAGAATTTGGTGAGGAAAGAATTTTGTGAACTGAAGAATGGGAGATCTTCATAGTCCATCTTGGTCTTATGAGAAAAACAACTGACCCTGATCTCAATAGCCTAGCAACCACAGATGCTGGGGGCAGGGGGTGCCTTTATGAAATTATTATCTACAATTCCTCTTGTAGGGATTAAATGACTGAAATTTCTGGAGACTACCAACATCTTCTGAATGATCTTGTACTAAATCACAGTAACTTTTCAAAACTGTGCCGTCTTGAAGAAATGTGGACAATGATTTGACTCCCACCAATCATATGATATCATGTACTGATATCTGGTGACTGAAAAGTTTGCCAACCTCTATATTAATCTAATTAGATATTATACTGAATTCAGGAGAATTAACACAGGCATTTGGTAGAGGACCTTATATTTCAACCTGTTCTGATATTCCCCCCGAAGGAGATTTCTCCATGGGATTAAGTGAGCAACGCTTGAGGTCTATCTTTGATAGGAAACTCTCACTGAGAAACTAGATATACTGTATATAGAAGCCCTCTTCAGATTTCCATGTTAAATTAAGTTCACAGTGGAGAAGTAAGAAATGTAGAAGCAAGGAATACATGTGGCCTTGTGTGGGCAAGCATTTTAACA